TTTTTTTGAAAATGGATGAGCTTTTTTTCAAATTCGATGAATTTCTTTGCAGTTTCGATGAACTTTTTTCTAAACCGATGAACTTTTTCAAAATGGACAAACTTTTTTCAAAATCAGTAAACTATTTTTCAATTTTGATTATTTTTTTATTCAAAATTGATAAACATTTCAAAATAGATGAACTTTTCCCAAAGTTGTGAACTTTTTGAAATTTCATGAACTTTATCCTAAATTTTGTGAAAGTTTCTCAAATTTATGATCTTTTTTAGTTTGTACGAACCTTTATGAATTTTATGAAATTTCTTTCAAAGTCACGTTTTTTATATTGTGCATTTATTTTTATTTTATCTTAGAATAATACGCATAATAGGGTGGGTATATAATGAAGGTGGTTTATCCTCAAAATGATCATCTAAGGGAATGCTGCCTAGTGTCTGTGTTCGAATGTTTGGACATAGGCGGACTGAGATAGATCCTAGCTCTATCACATTTTCAAGCATTTTTTTTGTGATAGGCCTGGCTGTCTCGCTGCAATTTCCGGGGCCGGCCCGCTACGCGAGGCGTGGGAGCGCCAGTATATCGCTAACGGGCGCCCGGACGCACGCAACCGCCTCTAGCGGTAGAATTTTCTCGGTCCGCCTCGCCCTCGAGCACCCAAATCCCAATCCCAGTCCGAGGCTCCCAACGGTAATAAAATATCGACGCCCCGCGTTGCCGACCGACCTCTCCTGTCCTGCCCGCCCGGCACCCGGTCCGGATCCTACCCCAACCCCCGCCACCACCACCAGCTCCACACTCCCCTTTGCTTCCCGCCGCCCGCCGAAGCCGTCTCCGGCGAGGACCCGACCGGCGACACCGCCTCTTCCCCGGCGGCCCGCCCGCGGCCAGGCGCGCCCTTTCCTCCCTACCCGCGCTCTGGCCCTGGCTCCTCCTCTCTTCGTCCGGGGCCCCGGGTCACCTCCTCGCGTCTGGTTTGGGTTCACTCCTCCTCGGTTCGTCGTCCGTCCGCTTAGGCTTAGAGCGCCCGATTTGATTTTGCTCGTGCTCGGTTCTTCGGTTCACAAGTCGCGCCTGGTTTGGTTTTTCTCGTCCTCGCCGTCGCCCGTTCGGGGCCGCGCCTGGTTTGAATTCGCTCGTCCCTCGCCGTCGTCCGTGTAGAGTCGCGTCCGATTCGATTTCGCTCGTCCTCGCCGTCGTCCGTTTAGAGTCGCGTCCGATTCGATTTCGCTTGTCCTCGTCGTTGTCTTGGTGCGTGCGCTCGCATGTTCTTTGGTCGTCTCCTCTCGCCGGGGTTCTCCGTCTCGTTTGCGAACTAGCAATTCTTTCTACGTGCGCTTTCGTGTTCGCGTCAGTTGCAGGAACGAACGGGTCTGGTTTCGAAATTGGATTAGTTTATCGTGCTAGTTGAGATTGGTTCCGTCACCTGCGTTGCTCTTGGTGATTTTCAGAACTCAAACGCATGCTCTCTTGTGATACTCTGTCAGTTCTTGTTGGCCCTCTGTCAGTTCTTGTTGGCCCTCTTGTCAATTCTTGTTGGCCCTCTTGTCAATTCTTGAGGGCCAGGGTCCGTTAATTCTTGATTGCTTGTTGTACCGGCTAGGCGTGTGTGCAGTCATCCTAGGTGCAGAGACGCTTGTTCTGATGGTGTATACTGTTTATGTTATTTCCAATTTGTTTCTTTTTACCATGCTTTGCTGATGTGTTCCGAGTTGAAAACTTTTACAAGAGTGCAAACCATGTGGCCTACTTGACTAATTGAACACCTGTTGCTGCACCTGTTGGACAAGGTTCCTTCTTTTGATGCTGCTATTTCCATGTAACTACTCATCATAGGAGTACTATAGATGAGGTGCTGCTAGTTAGTTCTCCTTAGACTTCGTTCTAGATTGCATAGCATAACTCCAGAATTTTGTCATTGCACACCTGGGCATATATTTCTGTTGTGAGCATAACTCCAGAATTTATTTATCCATGAAAGCACGTTCACCACATGTTCTTTTATCAATGCTGCTAACTTCTGTCATGTCCCTTTCCTTCGGACAACAATTTCAACGAACCTCTAATGTGGACATGTGCTGCTTGTTTTCTTGTTTTCTTATATCCAGTTGACTAGCACAACTCTTATGCTGTGACATTTGTTAATCCCCAGTTAGTGTGCCTGAAAAATTATTGCTTGTCCTGTTAAATTTTGTGGCATCAACTCGGTATTGTGATTAATGACCTAGTATTTGTTTAGTGTAGACAGCTAACTTATTTTTTCTTAAATTTTTAGTGATATGCGTGTTTTGTTATGTCTTATGTTGATAGTATATTCTTTTTTTTTGTATTACTCATGTCCAGTCACTAGAATAATGCTTTTCTTCATTTGCCTAGACTTTGTGACAATTAATTTATAGTGCGATCATTGATTGTTGATCATTGAGCTTCTAACATCCCATTGCGTAAAATTCTGTTGTAATGTTTGTTGGATCATTGAGTAATTAATTGATTCTGAGTTTGTTAGATCATTGAACTTCTGCGTGTGCTTCTGTTATCTGAGAGACACTCACGATCCTGTGTTTCGTGTCTGCGGTGGAGCGATGAACAATTACATTTCGTGTTCCTGTGTTTCGTATTTGCGGCGGAGTGATGAACGATTACGTTTCGTGTTCCTGCGTTTCGTGTTCGCCGTTCTGGTTTGAAGGATTACAAAGGTAGGGAGAGGCCAAAGCAAGGTCAGTTTTAGATTGTTTCCATCGCTGCGTTGTTCATCGGCGATTTCTAGACCTCAAACGCATGCCTCCGTGTGATACTCTGGTTTGGCTCGCTGGTCGTTATGGTTGTTCTTATGTTCTTGCATAACCCCATCTTATAGGCAGAGATGGGGTGATTCGTTATGGTTCTTCTGATGGTTGCTTATGTTCTTTCCAATTGGGTTCTTTTTGTAATGCTTTGCTTATGTTCCCAATGTCTGTTTTTCCATATATGGAGATGTGTTCAGAGGTGCAAACCGTGTAGGCCGTGGTGTGTTTTATACTATCTATGGTGTGTAGGCCGTAATGATTATATTGATATCACTTCTGTGCTAGTATACTAGATATGGTGTGTTTTATCCAAGTTATTAACCACATCTCTTACAAATTTTCCTCACACCAGTACATGTTTATATGACAGGAGTGATTGATGCCCTGACGAATATAATCATTTATGCTAACCTGGTATTGGTATTTCTTGATCATAGGTAACACACCAGTACTGGTTTAATGCAGACAACTGACTTTTCTTTTTAGAGTCAATTGCACCACTAGTGCTAGAACTTGGCTTAAACAGTCACTTTAGTGCTAGAACTTGCAGCATACATTGAACTAGTGCAAAAACTTGATTAAGGCATGCAAAGACGGTACTAATCACGTTTGTATACACCGGCCGCTGTCACCTGTCAGGCATGCCAGCGTGGCATCAAGCCCGCTGTCAGTGACCAATGTCCTAGCGTGTGGCGTGCTCCTTTTGCGAAACCCCCTCTGATTTTTATTTTTCGTTTTTTAAAAGGCCCCTGTAGGTGTACACTAACTGCATGTTCTGGCATCTGGTACGTTCCACCTATGAGCTAACATCGCAAATTTTATTAGTATGAAAAAAAAACAGGCCGCTCATATAATTCGAACTGGTAACCTTAGGATAACCCACGTGCGTAGCTAGCCAACAAACACAGATAATCTTTAATGTCCTATAAGGATCCTGAGCCATTATATATTTTCGCTAAATAACATGAACTGTAGATTTTTTATTTCCCAAAAAAGACACGGCCGAGGGGTTTCGAACCAGCAATAACTGGTTTTGTAAAAAAATGTAAATTTTAATTATAATTATAATTGTAAACACTTTCAAAATTATAGAAATAATTGGTAATTTAATTTGATGGTTTTTCTAAATTAATAGGTAATCTTTTTTAGTATAATTAATTTTATTTTATGTATATTATTTATATTATTATGGTCATATTAGTTATTGTTGTTTACTTTTCTTTAAAAATAATGAAAAATGAGAAGAAAAAAACTAACAGAAATTGTACCCCACAGGTAAATTCTGTTATAGACAAAAACGTCAACAATTCTATGTAGACATGAGATTCCATTAGTTGGAGTGGCACACCCTCCTTTTACTCGGGTCGCTCGTTTGAAACCCCACATGCGTAACTTTTTCTCCGGATTAATTTTTTCAATTTATGTTGTCAAGTCAGCTCTGGACTGGTTCAAATCCATCCCTCTACGCGCCTTATTTTTCATTTTAATAAATTTGTGATGGTTCTCTGGGGCCTATTCGTTAGAAAAAGCGAAAAATAAAAATACAGGTAGTTTCTGCACAAAAAACAACACGCCACAGGCCCATCTTCACACTGACAGTGGGCCTTACGCCATGCTGTCATGGCCCGTCAGCATGACCAGTGTATACAAATGTGATTAGCACTGTATCTGTACGTTTGAGCCAAGTTTTTACACCACTTCAATGTATACCACAAGTTCTAACACTAAAGTGACTATTTGCGTCAAGTTCTAGCACCACTGCCGTAATTAACTCTTCTTTTTATGTGAACTTTTTTGTGATATTTGTGTTATGTGGATATCATATCCTAATGCTTTTCTAAGTATTTAAGGTACAAACTTGTGGATCTGGACATGTCACATTTGCTCTTTATTGTGTTGCTAAGGACACTGAACGGTCTGGCTGGGCCAAATCAGGTACACTTGATTTTATGTGTAATTGATGTTCTCTGCCACATCATACTCAACTTGTGCTTGCCAAATGGATCTCCGGGAACAAATTGTTCGTAATAAATGAACAAATTGCAGAACTTGTGGCTGTGCTATTTACCCACTTGCTTTAATTGCACATGTTGTTAAGAAGAAGAAGAAAAACATACACCCTGTTATTTGAAAATGGTGTATTTACCGTTCTGATGCGCATAAACTGAGAATGGTCACCATATACTGTAGGAAGTGTTGCTATGGATCAAATCTGTAATGGAAGAGAATGGGAGTAACATTACAACTGACCAACTTAAAGATTATGTATGGAAGACACTGAAGACTGGAAAGGTAGCTTATCACAGACCGAGTTATATCTATTCAATTATCAAGCACTAATTATTGTTCAAGGACTATAGTTTTATAATACCTCATGATCTTGTTTGTGAGTAGAGAAAATAATGCAATATCGGGAATTACAGTTGTCACTCATTTCATGCTCACATGGGTTGCATTGTAGAAACCTAAATATCTATGTATACCTTCATGCATGTCCCTCTTATGCACCGCATTTCAGAAATCTAAATATCTAGGTCTTCTTTAAAGTTAATGTTTGGGAGTTCTTGTTGAAGTTGCGATTTATAATGTCTCATGGATTTAAACTTTGTTAAGCTACTGAAAACAGTCACTGAAATTAGCCATTAATGAGTAGTATGATTTCTACTTATCGCAATCATGTCAAAAGGTCTTAGCTATTCATATTTCTAGGTATTAGCCACCATCAAAGTAAACAAAGATAGAATAAGTGTGCTCATTTTAATTTTATAGAAGACCTAGTATTGAAAGATTATGCAGATCGAAGCTGGGTAATTTATACCTGTGCAGAAAAATGTACAAAGAATGCCTGCATCATGCTTGTCATCTTGTGAAAGAAATCATCCAGTGAATTTATTGCTATTCTAGTGTCTTCATGTAAATCTCATAGAGAATGTTTATCTCTAGATTTGTTTCACTACCACAAATAACTGACATAATATCTATTTCTTGACTTTGTAATTGACCTTGTTGTTATTATGTAAAAAGTGTTACAACATTCTTGATCTATAACCTGTAGGTTGTAGTGATTAGAGAGAAGCTTGCAGGACTTTATGAATCTGAACAACAATGGTTGAGAGCAACACAAATGCTTAGTGGCATTGAGTTGGACTCAGGAATCAGGTTGAAACAAGCTTCTGTCTCTCTTTACATGTCATTGGATTTTCTTTTTTTTTTTTGAGAAAACGCAAAGGACTCTTTGCGTTTCATTTCATTGAAAAGGTGAGAAGATACAATCCTCCTAGGAGGTGGTGGTTACATGGATTGGCCACCTATCAGTGGACATCCCAGTTATAGGGGAGGACTACCCTGAGACCCAAAGCGCCAGCTTGTGCCCAACATGTGGCTTCGGCCTTAATCTTATCTACGAGTACGGTGACCGAGGGGCGCGCGTTCTCGAAGACGCACTCATTGCGGTGTTTCCAGATCATCCAAGGGACGAGCATGGCGATGGATTGCAGGCCTTTCCGTAGCGCGTGTGGGGTCTGCCCTTTCGTACGTTGCCACCAGTCCGTGAGGGTGGGTTCGTTGCTTGGCGGTTGAGAAGGTATCCTCGCCCAAGCCAGCACGTCATGCCAGACCTGCCGCGAGAACGGGCATTCTAGGAGCAGGTGCCACATCGTCTCTGGGGCCTGATCACAAAGAAGGCATCGTGGGTGGTGTTGTAGGCCGCGACGGGCGAGTCTGTCTGCCGTCCAACACCGGTCCTGGCTAGCCAGCCAATGAAAGAAATGGACACGGCGTGGTGCCCAGCTCTTCCAGGTAAGCTTCCAGGAAGGGCATTTCATGGATCCGTGGAAGGTTGCGGCGTAGCATGACCGTGCCGTATAAGTGCCACTGGCCGTCCATCTCCAGAGCATGCGGTCGGGCCGGTTTGACAAGTCGATGTGCTGCACTGCCTGCCAAAGTCTGAGATATTGGCCAATCTCATGGATCCCTATCACTCCTTGAATGCCACGGGCCCAGGCATTGCCCGCTAGGCCGGCGGCCACCGTTCTTGACTTGCGTTGCCGTTTGGGGATGCATTGGTAGAGTGCCGGTGCAAATTCACGCACGGTCTGACCGTTTAGCCATCGGTCATCCCAAAACAGCGCCGTTTGTCCATCGCCGAGCTGCATGATCGTCGAGGCGAAGAACAACGCACGCTCCTCGCTGGAAAACTGGAGGTCGAGGCCTCGCCATGCGCGGTCGTCGTCCGTGTGGGAGAGCCACATCCAGCGCAGGCGCAGCGCTAGGCCAGCACGCTCCAGATCCTGGACCCCGAGTCCGCCGTACTCGAGCGGGCGGCACACCCTTCGCCAGTTGACGTGGCAGTGTCCACCATTGGCAGCAGCTCGCCCAGCCCAGTCTGGGAAATCTGACCATCTTCTTAAAAACCAGGATGCTTGATGACACAAACAAATTATCCAAGTGTGTCCAGATTGCATGACTCTATTTGGAGGTTAGTCGTGTTTTTAACCTTTGTCGTCATTGCATTGTCAGCTAGACTAATGTAGTTCTTCATTTTGTAGGATGATGATGCAGTGAATGCTGAAGCTTTTATCAACAAAGCCTCGTTTTTGGTCACAAACAACAACCAGGAAGTTCTGAACTTACAATACAAGGTTTGTTGGTTCAGAAACAATTCAATAATCTATCTGTCTACAACTAAGGATAAAAATTTAGTTCCCTTCTTATATCTATTGTAGGTCTGCTATGCGAAAATTTTAGATCTAAAGCGTAAATTCTTGGAAGCTGCACTTTGATACTCTGGTATCTCTCAAATTGAGCAATGCCAAATTGGGGATGAGTAAGGATTACTCCATTCAGTTGTAGATTTGTTTCTCTCTTCTGCAGTTCACTCCCTTTTAATGTTCTGTCTTGTATGGTTCTTTGTTGACTTGCCGGTGTAGTCTCAGTGAAACGTATTATTATTCCCTTTCAGGAACGAAGATATGAATCACCCTCACCCCTCTAGAGAAATCAGTTTACTCATTCAAGTTTTGGAGTTTCATAGTTTTCTGAGTTTATTTCAGTCTTGCATGAATGCATGTATTAGCTTTCTCTTTGTGCCCCTATCTATGCCTATTTCTTGTGTGCAAGCGCTCCATTCTGTGTGTGTGACTATGTGATTTGATGGTGAATATGTGTGTGGCTTGACTATGTGAGTGTGGCTTGATTATGTCGTGGCTTGATTGTGTGTGTGGCTTGGCTGTGTGTGTGAGATTGTATGTGGCTTGACTCTGTGTGTGTGAGGGCTTGATGGTGAATATGTGTGTGGCTTGACTCTGTGTGTGTGACTCTGTGTGAATATTGCATTTTCTTGATGGTGTGGCTTGTATAACTTGTGTTCTATATGTCACGATTGATTGTTGTTTGTTGAATGTGAACAGACCTAACACTATTCTTTTTTCTGAACTTTTTTGTGATTATGTCTTATGTGGATATCATACTCTTTTTTGTATTACTGCTGTCTTGGAATAACGCTTTTCTAAGTATTTAAGGTGCAGACATGTGGATCTGGACATGTCAAATTTGCTCTTTATTGTGTTGCTAAGGACACTGATGGGTTGGGTTTGCATGCAACGCAGGTATATTTACGTTCTTTACATTTTACGATGCTGATGCCTGAAGTCCCAAAACGTTTATTTAGCCAAATTTTGCTACTTCTGGCTACTTACTATTTTAGATGTGCTGCATCCATAACTACCTATTGGCACCTGATATTTGTGCTCATAATGCAGTATGGACCAACAACATGGTCTCATTGCAAGGCGGAGATATAGGCAACCAATGTCAAGAGCGGTACTCTTTTGATTGTTTTATTTTTATGGTTTGTTTAAATGCATTTCCCTCTTTGTGCAAGACAAACAGGGAATGTTTACTAATTTAGAAACACACTGGTTAAATAAAGAGCTGATTGGTAAATATGAAGCTGATTTTGAATTCATACATAACATCTTAGGTGGCATAATCATCTGAATCCAGACATACAGAGAGATGCTTGGACTATTGAGAGGAGGAGCATGCACTGATTAACGCCCATTGGGTACATGGGAATAAATTGGCAGAAATAGCAAAAGTTCTTCCTAGAAGGTACTGCCAAACAACTTACATCTTATTGGGATAATGTATAGCCCCTGCCACTTCCTTCTTTCCTGGACATCATACCGTGTGCCAGACATCTGAACATTGCAGGAATCGGGTACTTCTATTTGTGTAACTTCTATTTGTTCTCAGGTTCTTCTCACCTATAGCTAAAGTCAAAGACGACAAACCAAGTGAATTAATGGAGTTGCAAGATACACAGAATCATCGGTAAGTTTCTATCCTTTCAAATGGCCGGAGTATGAATTTTGATCAGTTTGTCTGACTGTATATGGAATCCTTGATTCCTTGATAACTTTGATATGCACACATGAATAATTACTTATGCTGTTATGATCATAAACTGATTTCCAAGTATTTTTGACTCATATGATGCTTATTGCATCACAAGTCATCTAAATCTTCTTTTCTAATATGGCTGCTGGTGCTGCTCATGACGCAAGCTACTTTTCTTGCTTCAAGAATAATAGAAACATCATTTACATTGTGGTCACTCACATTTTAAGTTGCTCGTGTCATTTCAGGCTAGCCATCAGCTTGGAAGTCATAAGAGGCAACCACTGTTGTCAACTTGAAACGTATAATTTTTTAGGTATGAATGGCTTACCTTAGCCAGAATTTCTATAAGAATGTTGCTCATGTTAAACATGCCTTGCTTTCTCTAGTAAGTAGAACAAGAACGCATTTAACATTTCTTTTCTGTCCATAGGCCTACAAACTTGTGGGTAGTGATGAAGATAATCGCTTAATCAGCCTCTAACCAGTTTCCTGTTTTCAGGAACGAAGATCTGAATCATCCTCACGCCTCGAGAGAAATCAGTTTAGTCATCCATGTCCTGAAATTTATTTATAGCTTTCAGAGTTTACTTTAGTCTTGCATGTATTTGCTTTCTGTTTGTGTGCCTATCTATGTCTGTTCTTTTTGTTGTGTGCAAGCGCTTCATTTTGTGTGTGTGACTGTCTGACTGTGTGTGGCTTGACTTTGTGACTATGTGTGTGGCTCTATATGAATATTGCATTTGACTATGATGTGTGACTGTGTGTGTTTGTCTGTGTGTGTATGTGCGACTCTGTGAATATTGTGCATTTGACTGTGATGTGTGACTGTGTATGTGACTCTGAATATTTCATTTGACTGTGACTTTGTGTTTGTGTGTGTGTGTGACTGTGTGTGGCTTGACTGTGTGTGTGGCTTGTATGCTTTGCTGAATGATTGGTTGTTGTGGCCTAACACTGCCTTTGCCGGTCCCAAGCCTGGATGTGAAAATGTGGAGGGAGCTGCAGTTACCTCCTTTGTATTGTTTTCCTTAGAAGTGTGGATAGAAATTTGTGTGTGACGGCAAATATTGCATTTGACTGTGATGTGTGACTCTGTGTGTGTGACTCTGAATATTGTGCATTTGACTATGATGTGTGACTATGTGTGTGACTCTATGAATATTGCATTTTGATTGACTTTGTGTGTGTGTGTGTGTGGTTTGTGTGTGTGTGACTGTGTGTAGCTTGACTGTGTGTGTTGCTTGTATGCTTTGCTGAATGATTGGTTGTTGTGGCCCAACACTGCCTTTGCCGGTCCCAAGCTCGGATGTGAAAATATGGAGGGAGCTGCAGTTGCCTCCTTTGTATTGTTTGCCTTAGAAGTGTGGATGGAAATTTATGTTTTAGGTTATTGTCCTAATCGAATAGTGCATCTTAACATAATGTGGGATTCAAGCTTGAAATGCGCAGCCAACTCCGCCTCCGCCTTCATAAGTCACGGGTCAATCGTTAATACGACGTCTGTGGTCCGGTCGACCCGCTGTCCAACCTTGCTACCTCTCCGATCCAACCGGAGTTTGTGCAAAGTGCGTCTGGACTTCCCATGTCCGCCCCGCCCTCAATCTTCCCTTTTTAGCTCTAATTTTTCCCTTTTTTTCTTCCCTCACGCGACTCCTTCTGTTCTGCCCCCTGTCGATCCCCCCAATCTCACCTTCCGAACGCAGCTAACTCCGCCTCCGCCTCCTTCGTGTGGCCAGCAGCGGCACACACCACGCGTTTTTCGCTGAGATTGTTGCATGACAGGATCGACGGTGGCAGGCGGGTCTGCCGCCCCAACGACAGTATGGCCTGGCCTGAACCCTGAGGAGTGTGGGGCTCAGCGACGTCTTTTGCTTTCTGATTATTGATTGATTTGTTCCTCACAGTAATTTTTTATGACATTTCATGATTTTTTTTCCAGTTTCGTAGCATAATGTGTGTTCCTCACAGGCTAGAAACGCAATTAACTCAATCCTGTGAATATGTAGTTTATAGGCAGGTGTGTACAGTTAGGCTCAAGTTTCATAGTGTAAAACTCTCATCTTGATATGCCAATTTTGTCATTTATGTTGCATGGCCGATTTGGCATCCAATCCAATGCATCCCATGCCTATCTTATTTATCTCAGTCATCAGAGCATCCAATCCAATGCATTCCATGCCTATCTTATTTATCTCAGTTATCAGAGCACCCATTTTTGTGATATGTGTGTTTGGATATCATATTCTATTTTTGTATTACTGTTGTCCAGTCATTGGAATAGTGCTTTTCTGAGTATTTAAGGTACATACATGTGGATATGGACATGTCACATTTGCTCTTTATTGTGTTGCTAAGGACACTGTTCCTACAGCAGTGTCTGAACATGGCACAGTTCCAACATCAACTCAATCATGGGGCGCATCTGCAACAATTGGATATTTTCATCCAGCTCCTGTACCAGCACAAGCATCACAAGTTTAGAACTCTGATATAGTTTCTTGCATCATTGATACTTATTTTTATTCAGTTACAGATGGATCCTTCTTTGCATACTGGAGCACTCTCTGGTTCGAACTATGTTCCACCTGCAGCATTTAGTGTTGGTAGTGTATCTGAAGCATTTCCTACAGACACAAAACACTCTTTTCAATGTTGCAAAACGGTCAAAGAAAGTAGGTTTTGTAGTTCCATTTATTTCACTTGCTTATCATCATAGCCGTTTAACTTTAGCTGGTTCTTGTGCTCGATCATGCACCCGCCTCCACTACCTAACTGGCTTCGAGAAGAGCTTCTAAAGAAAAAATCAACTCTAGTGAGTGCTTCAGTGCAACATCCGACAAATTCTGATTCCATGGAATCTGAAGATGCCGCAGAACCACCAAAAAGAGCTAAGCAAACTGGCAGTAGAAGCATTGGTACAACAAAACCAATCGAAGTTGATGAGGTGCTCTTAACTATTTTATTATTAATTATTAGTGCAGTACATGTTATGCTATTAATCTTCCCTATTGTGATTCACTTGCATGCAAAAATCTGCCCCTAATGATTTATTTCAGTATGAATAGTACCATGTCCAAGTTAACGGGTTTAAAGCTAGATAGTATTGCGGCGGACTTTAAATACATAATGATGTTTGGACAACTTTTGTAAATCAAAGTGAACTAATTTAATCATGATAAGAAAGTTGCTCTGTTAGATTGGGTGGAGGTTAGTGCCTAGTGGCTTTGAGAAACTAAATAATTACCTACTTCTGTCTATTGTTTTTTAATGTTTATATAGTAATTTTTGAAGAACAGCGATTTCATAATGGTGAGAGAAATGGCATGGCTATGTGTCAATTTTTTCCCGATTTGATTTGTCAGTGAAGCAAGCTAGATATTATTTACTTGAGACTCGAGGTTGCTTGCCATACTGTATTATTGTACTGCCATATCTCCTAGTTCCTGCAATCATTTTTCCAGAGCAGTGTTTTTTTTTCATCTGTACACATGTTCACTTCTTTTGGATCTGGTGGAAAAATCGGATGCTAGTTACTGAAAAGTTAATCCTTTTTGTTCCTGTTCATATCCGACTTTGATATTAACATGGTCCTCATTTTAAATCGATGTACTGGAATTGAATCATTTGCAGGATGAAGTCGAAGCGGCACGGATGGCATCAGTCAACAAGGAAATTAAACGTGTGTTGACAGAAGTTCTTCTGAAGGTTTGTCATTGCATGGAGGTTATTTACTTATTTAGCTAGGTTTAGAAGAACATGTACTTTCTGTTCCAAATTCAGCAAGACTGCCATTTCTTACTTTTGTACTTTTTTGTCATTTCCAGGTTTCTGATGATCTTTTTGATGAGACCGCAACCAAAGTTATGAATGAAGATGATTTATGAGCTGAGCGTGAGTGAATTACACTAAAACTTGATGTAAATAGGTAAATTACATTGCTAATTATCGCCTCTGTCTTGCAGCAAATGAGACCACTGGTGTCTCTAGCTCAAGGAGCTTGGTCTGGGAGAATCAAAAGTCGAGACCACAGCTAAGTTGTAGTCCCTGCTAAGCCAAACAATGTTGGCTCTACTGGTCATTCTGATGGTACTGGGCTAAGTTCTCCTAAAGGTGCTCTTCTTGGTCTTGCTAGTTATGATTCAGATGATGAGGGTGATGGTGATGGTAAGGGTTTAATTTCAAATTTATCATCTGAAATTAAAGTTGGTGCAGCTCATCCTAAAGAAAGTAAGTTCTTGAAAAACACAAAGCGGACATGGTTTCCCAGAATTTATTTTCTAGAGAAGGAAGAGCTTATTATTAACTTTCTGAGTATACTTTGATCTTGCATGTATTAGCTTTATATTTTTGCCCCTATCTATGTATGTTTCTATCCATTTCTTGTGTGCACGCTCTCCATTGTGTTTGTGTGTGTGACTGTGTGTGTGATGTGCCCCTATCTATGTCTGTTCCTCTCTGTTTCTCGTGTGCAAGTGATACATTGTGTGTGTGTGTGTGTGTGTGCAAGTGCTACATTGTGTGTGTCTGACTGTGTGTGTGTGATTTGCCCATATCTATGTCTGTTTCTTTGTCTTTCTTGTGTGCAAGCGCTTGATTTTGTGTGTGCTTGTGTGACTGTGTGTGTGTGTTGCATTTGCTTGATGGTGTGGCCTGTGTGCTTTGCTGAATGATTGGTGTTGTATAACTTGTGTTTTGTATTGTTGTGGTTTAACACTGCCTTTTGCCGGTCCCAAGCCCGGATGCGAAAATGTGGAGGGAGACGCATTTACCTCCTTTGTATTGTTTGCCTTAGAAATGTGGATAGAAATTACTCTGTCCTAATTGAATAGTGAATCTTCACATAATGTCGTAGCATGTGATTCAAGCTCTGAAATGCATCCTTCCTTGCTATGAAAAATCTAGTAGGTGTAATTGTCGCTAGAATTTGTGCCGTCTCCTAAATTAATCTCGTTGGTTTCTTAAATCTTGTCAGCACCGATGTTCTTTTCTGCTAATATATACACTTTTCTAAAGATCAATCATCTATTTTTTATTTGGCTTTAGGTTGAATATTGTGGTTGTCTAATCATGCAGGAATCTCCGCGTCGCACGTGCCCCTCATCTGTCTGTCACAAGTGTGTGTCGGGTTTATTTGTTGTTGGGCTATTTATTCAGGTTGTGGGTCGCCCACTCCTTGTTTGGACTCCGACCCATGTGGGGGGTGTCAGTTTCAGTTATGAGGCATTTCTAGAGGGGGTGACCTAGATAGATAGATAGATAGATAAAGAGAGAGGGAGGGAGGGAGGGAGAGAAACTCATGGAGACAGACTGCGGTGTTGGGGAAGGAGCTCACTTAGGTGCACCACCAGTAAGGCACTGTGTAGGCTCATGAGTCTCCTTTCCCCTCTTTGATTCAATTCACTAGTGGTTGGGGCGCGCCAACCATGGCGCGCCGCCTGAGCGGAAGCTGGGTGGTGCCAGATAGGACGCGCCCCTTCAGCTATGCTGTTTGTACTAAGTAGTGTGTTTTGTGCACATGTGACATTGCTATGAAAATACTGACATTACTATAATAGAAGAAACCAGCAGAAATGCAACACATCTGGATCTCTATATATTTATTGATGCACCACGTTAAAAGAAATTGAAATTCCATGCAGGTTAATAGCATTGACAGGAGCATATATCTTGCTGCTTGGCAAAACAAGATACATCAATATAAATTGTGTGTGTGCCCGCCCTGGCGGCAACTAGTCCTTGATGCCTCCCTCCAACCATGCGGCCGACAACAAGAGGAGCACGCTCGCCTCGTGCGACATGCGCTTAGCCACCCGGTGCATGTCGCCAATGAGTCATAGGCTCATCGTGGACGACAACGACCCTCTGGGACACGACGTTGATGTAGGCGAGGGAGATGTTGAGCTTGATCCAGAGGTACCTGATGGCAGCCTTGGTCCTGTTGATGGCGAACGGCTGCGCACCATTGGCCCCCTGGCTCCTCACCCGCGCACACTTCTTCTCGTATGACAACAGCCGGACATGCTTCACTGCCTGAAAATGAATTCCATTTCATATCTTTCACTTGACTAGTTCTAAACTTCTAATGATTATACAAATTCTTGGAGAAGCGAGTGTGCTTGATCGAACGTACCGTGACTTTTAGGCTCTCCTTGCGGCTCTGGAAGTGGCTCTAGAAGAGCTGGAATGGCTCCGTCGAAGCTTCATAGACGCCAACTTGTGCGTCGCCTTCATTCCTCTCGGAGCAGTTGGTTGAACTGTCAATGTACATGATAGCAATGATCATTAGGAACAAGTTTAGGCCACATCATTTTGTAAATCTGTTTTCTCAATTCAGTTATCAAAAGCATTAATCCTTAATGAGAAAAATTCATTGTAGGTCACAAAACTTGAGCCGGATGACACTTTGGTACCACTACTTCAAAATACCCGAACTACGGTCCATGTACTTGCGCACAGGGTTCACTTTGGTTCGTATGTACGATTTCGTCTACGTATTTGCTGACTTGGCCGAGTCAGCAGCCGCCAGCTAGGCTTTGATCGCCACGTAGTCGATCCTAGGATGAATACTACTCGATCCAGGGTTATTTTTGCAAAAACGCCATGTCGGCCAGGGACCTGGTGGAGAGCCTGGGGCATCGCCAGCAGCGGCGTGCCGTTCCTCTGGGTGGTCCGGCCGGGCCTGGTCGCCACGGACGGGCTGACACGGCTGCCGGATGGGTTCGAGGAGGTGACACGCGGGCGCGGGATGGTGGTGCAGTGGGCGCCGCAAGAGGAGGTGCTCCGGCACGCAGCCGTGGCCGGGTTCTGGATGCACGGGGGCTGGAACTCGACGACGGAGAGCGTTTGCGAGGGGGTGCCGATGCTGTGTCGCCCGCACTTCGGCGACCAGATGGGGAACGCCAGGTACGTGGAGCACGTGTGGAGGGTGGGCTTCGAGGTCGCCGGCGCGCTCGAGAGCTGGCGGCGTGGAGGCCGCCATCCGGCGGCTCGTCACAAGTACGTGGACCAGATGGGGAATGCCAGATACGTGGAGCACGTGTGGAGGGTGGGCTTCGAGGTCGCCTGCGCGCTCGAGAGCTGGCGGCGTGGAGGCCGCCATCCGGCGGCTCGTCACAGGGAGCGAGGGAGCGGAGATGCGGGCCAGGGCCAGGGACTTGGTGGAGACGGCCTGGGGCATCGGAGAATACACATGAGCTTCGGGCCTTCGGCAGCCTGGCATGCATGTTGAGTCATCGGGGTGGTTTTTGCACATCCCGCCCACGCCGGACAGGACCACGGCGTCCGCGTCCACGGACGCGCCCGCAGCTAAGGAGGATGGGGAGGTGCTGCCGGAGAGGAGCTACGTCTCCGGCACCATCTTCACCGGCGGCCTCAACTGCGCGACGTGCGCCCACGTGCTTAGCAACTCTGCCGACGGCGCTCGGCCGGCCGCCTCTGTCAACATGTCCTGCAAGATGCGCGGCTGTGACATGCTGGCGTTGGCGGCCACCCGCCCTATGATCTGCGAGGAGTGCTACATGGACTGCGTCGCCGCCTCCAGCAACTGCCCAGGCTGCAAGGAGGTCTACTCTGCCGGCAGCGACACCGACGACTCCGTTGACGACGACGACGACCGACGCCATCTCCTCGTCGGAGGAGAGGGACCAGATGCCCATGACATCCATGTCCAAGCGCTTCTCCATGGTGCACTCCATCAAGATGCCCATGTCCAGCAGCAACGACAAGCCGGCCGACTTCGACCACGCCCGGTGGCTCTTCGAGACCAAGGGCACCTACAGCTACGGCAACGCTCTATGGCCCGAGAACGAGCACGGCGGCGGCGGCAACAACGCTGGGGCCACCTTCGGATTCGTTGGCATCGAGGAGCCGCCCAACTTCGGTGCCCGCTGCTGCCGGCCCCTGACGAGGAAGACCAGCGTCTCTCAGGCCATACTCAGCCCATATAGGTACCAATTCCTCGTGTAAAAACAAGCGACATGGATGTCTGACGGCTCCCAGTGGGCCGACACTTGGCTCGCCGGGGCGACGGATCACGCGCGCGGCAACCATGCTGGCATCATTCAGGTGATTGATCGAATCCATAGATGTTATTGCGGCTGACATACTAAATCCTTTCGAAATGCTTGTTCAATCGATTCAAAATGCTCATGTATCTTCTCCAAATGATTGATGAACGCGCTGGTCGACACGACGGGCGTGGACATCCGGCTGCCGATGCTGGTGTACGTTTCGCGCGAGAAGAGGCCCGGGTACAACCACAACAAGAAGGCCGGCGCCATGAACGCGCTGGTCAGGACGAGTGCCATCATGTCGAACGGGCCCTTCATCCTCAACCTGGACTGCGACCACTACGTGCACAACTCGGCGGCGCTCCGCGAAGGGATGTGCTACATGCTCGACCTGTTGGGGAACGTAGCAGAAATTCAAAAAATTTCCTATGTGTCACCAAGATCTATCTATGGAGAGACCAGCAACGAGTAGAAAGGAGAGTGCATCTACATACCCTTGTAGATCGCTAAGCGGAAGCATCCAAGTGAACGGGGTTGATGAAGTTGTACTCGTCGTGATTCAAATCACCGATGATCAAGTGCCGAACGCACGACACCTCCGCGTCCAACACACGTACAGCCCGGTGACGTCTCCCACGCCTTGATCCAGCAAGGAGAGAGGGAGAGGATGAGGAAGACTCCATCCAACAGCAGCACAACGGCGTGGTGGTGGTGGAGGAGCGTGGCAATCCTGCAGGGCTTCGCCAAGCACCGCGGGAGAGGAGGAGTACTTGTGAGAGGGGGAGGGCTGCACCAGAACTTCGTGTATAGCTCCCATGCGCCTCCCCACTATATATAGGGGTGGAGGGGCTGGTTTCTTGCCCTCCAAGTCCATT